AGTGGGTTGCAGATGGTAGTGTGTGACTCTGGGTGTTGGGAAGTAAACCAGAGCCTCTGAACCATCTCTCCATCTCTCCTTCCAGGGCCTTCTTTCTTTCTTTTCTGATTGACCCAACCAGATGTTTCTCAATATTATTCCACTTAAAGAGCAAGATCCTGATTTTGTTTTTTCTTTTGCTGCTTTTCCATTCACGTGTTTTGCTATTGTTTTTCATTCCAGTTTGCATTATTCCGTCTCTTCGGATTACTTTGTGATAATTTGTTCTTTTACTGGTTCCAAGGCTCAAAGTCAATGTCACTGACTAGGAACATTTGTTCTTTTCCAGTATTAGGGTATAGTGTCATAGCATTCTTCCTAATGGCTGAGTCAGTGGTTCCCTTCAAATTCTGATGTGCTGTGATTTCACTTTTTACTTTTGATTCTTTTCATTGGCATAGATGGCTTGCATCTGGGCATCTGCACAGTGATTTACATAGTTCCTTTGTGTCTGCACAGGGCTTTTACTCAGCTACAGGTGGTTTCACCTCTGAATATACTAATCAGGATTGAGAATTCTTCTTCTTCTTCTTCTTCTTCTTCTTCTTCTTCTTCTTCTTCTTCTTCTTCTTCTTCTTCTCCTTCTTCTCCTTCTCCTCCTCCTCCTCCTTCTCCTTCTCCTCCCCCTCCCCCCTTCCTCCTTCTCTTTCTCCTCTTCCTTCTTCTTCTTAATTAATTAATGAATTAATTAAATTTATATGAGTACACTGTCACTGTTTTCAGGCACACCAGAAGAGGGCATTGGATCCCATTACAGATGGTTGTGAACCACCATGTGGTTGCTGGGAATTGAACTCAGGACCTCTGGAAGAGCAGTCAGTGCTCTTAACTCTTTACTTTTGGGAGTGCTCTGCTCACCTTGATTTCCCTTGACACTGCGAATAGTCTTCGTTTTCTTAAAAAACAGTTTTTTTCCTATGTATTGTTAATTGTTTGGTTGAGAGACTGATCCTCAGTCAGAAGCAAAAGTTAGTGAAGTTTTGTGATGTTTTACAACCCAGTATTTGATGCTCAGAATCAGTTTATTAGATTATAAACATTATAAAACAAAATGACAGAAAATAAAATGTATTTTAATTTTAAATGTAATTTTTCATATATAAAGGGTAAGGTAACTCAACTCGTGTGTGTGTGTGTGTGTGTGTGTGTGTGTATGTGTGTGTAGCTTTTAGAAAGCCATATCTTTTGAGAGTGTGTTCACTGAGTTGTGAATCACCTGTCATTTCCTGCTCTGGTTCATGGGTCAAAAGGTCTTGAGAGATGCTGTGTTACTATGTCACGGTTCTGCACAGGCAGGATCTACAGCAGTCTGTCTGCACTGAAGGGACCTGAGGGACACAGTGGCCACTTCACATAATCCCTACAAAATGCTTATCATGTTCTCAAAAGCTAAGGTCGGGGGGGGGGTGTTCCCTGGAATGGTCTCTGAATAACAGCTTTCTGGTCTCAAAATTGATACAGATCTTCAAATTTATCAGTTATCCATAACAGTATCCTGTTATTGTCCATGACATTACCATGGTAAATGGGAGAAAGGCCCTCTCTGGCCGAGCGAAGGATTTATCTGGTTACCAGAGGAAGCGGGAGAAGGAATGTGGGAACTCAGAGCACAGGACTGCAGGCCCAAAGGAACTGTGTCCAGGAAAGCTTACACAGAGGGCTGGCTATGGTAGATATTAGGTGAGGCGTGCTTCAAATTCAAATTATTGTATTTGCCATTAAGTGCATATTTAAATTTGCCTACTGTGACCTGGAGCTAGTTTAATAAACACCGTTGATAACCATTCCTGTTGATAACCATTCCTGTCTCTCCACAGCTCCTATAAACAATCTGTTTAAAGGACAAAGCAGTATGGACCAAGACAGCGGCCTAAGGAATGAGGAGCAGGAAGTAGGCAGCCTATCCTAACTGAAGTGGCATATAACAGTCGCAAGTATCCATTCCACAAATTCTGCAAATATTCCAGCATTCATTAGACCCTTCCTGTCTATAAACCACACAAATCCTGACAATCTTGGATGCCACGTGATACTCAGCCACCGTCATAGAAATGGACATTTTCTGAGAAAAAAAAAAAGGAGTGAGAGTAGGCATGAGACTGGGGTGTGCATGCGCGCAGGGTGTGTGTGTGTGTGTGTCCAGAAAAGTCTCCGTAAAAGGACATTGGCGGCACAATGGGGATTCACTATGTCTCCTGGACAAAGATGGTTTAGCTTTGGGGTTCTGTGTCATAGCAGCAAAGGTGTCAGGCAGAACTGAGGAGTTACCTGAAGCTTGGGTGGTCCAGGCCCCAAAGTGTATCAGGGCTCAGGAAGGGGGTGAAGTGACCTACTGATTTTTGCTCCAGGCCTTAGCCGAGTGTTTGAATGTGTGAGGATTATATTTCTGTCCTTGGTGCGTGGCATCTGTGTGAAAACTCGGCTAGATGGATTTTATTTGTTAGTGATGTTTAAGGCTGTGCGGAGACCCAAACATTTACCTTGACATCATCTTTCTCATTTCTGGTCTTTGCGGGCAGTTGGGTGCCCATTCTTATGTCTTAAATTAGACTCCAGCGCACAATCTTGTGGTGCGTGGAGGACTTCCGAGGCAGGAGATTGTAGGGATCTGGTGAGAGGCGCACTGCCTGGGCAGCAATGTGCAAACAGCACGGGGGTTGCGCATCTGGAGCTGCAGTGCGCCGATAGCACAGTTCCTGACGCGATGGTGGCAATAGCCCGCTGTACTGGAGCGTGCGGGGTTTCTTCTCCCCGCGCGGGGGCACCAGAGCCCTCGGAAGTGTCAGGCACTGCGGCGCATCTACCAGATTTTCTTTTAAATGACTGCGGATATGCGGGCGATCGCAGCCACAAATGGTGAGAGGAGGCTCAGACCGGGCTCGCGAATGGCCCGCAGCGATCATTTAACTGCACCCACACAGCAGTTAAGGCTTGTCACTCGACCCTCTGGAACCATCTCACGTGTCCCCACTGAGACTCTAGGGCGATGCCGGAGCCTGGCCTCTCCGTAGCTGGAAGCACATCCTGCCTCGGGCAGCAGGGGTGCAGGGTACACGTTGGCGCACATGCGCGCGCGCACACGAACACGCGCAAGGTACGGCAGGGCAGGGGACAGGGGCTTGGGGGCTCCGTGTGCGGGTGGGTGTCGTGGAGAGTGAAGCTGTGATCCTCAAATGGCTGCATCATGCCAGGTTATGGAATGAGAGAAGATGACGCGGAGCCAGCCATTCTACATGCCAGGGTCGGTGCAAAGCATTTAGGGAACCCACTGAGCGGCCGGCGCGCTCCCTTCCCACGCAGGGCTCTCCCTATGGCGCAAACGGCAGGAGAAAGACCCATCAGAGCTACACTTGTGTCTGCAGGCTCCTTTTCTCTTGGCAGAAAACCCATCAGGAGAGCTTTGGAACCACCCCTAAATAGGTAGCCCGGAACCGGGCAATGGTCCTTGGTTACTAACGCACAGTGTTATATATTTATTTTTGTACGGTGTGTAGCTTGTCTTCTCTATATTTTGGGAATAGCTTGCTTTCCTATATGAGCATGATGGGAAAGGAGAACGCAGCGGGGAGGGAGAGGGAAAGGGAGAGAGAGAGGGAAAGGGAAAGGAAAAGGGAGGATTCCTACAATAAGAATCAGAGCATTTTTTCAGAGACTAACCAAACAGGGCTTCCATTTCAAAGAGAGAGCTAGCCTGTACTGCTGTGTGGAAGAGATGTAAGAATTAGGGACCAAGGAAGCGTCCAGCGGCGCAACGCTGCATTTCGGAGGTACCGGGGTCTAAAGGGGCACGCACACGCACACACATGCACACCCGCACAGCTACCCCGCCAAGGTGTGTGCGTGCGCGCGAGTGTGAACTCCCACATGCTGCTGTCTGCGCCTGGCCGCTGGCACCAAGCCTCCTCCTCCCCGCTCGCCCCCAGATTCCCTCCCCTCCTCCTTGCTTTTGTCTGGAGGGTGCTATGCTATGCGTGTGTGCGTGTGCGTGTGTGTGTGTGAGCGTGTGTGTTTTTGGATTTCATACTAATTTTCTGGAGTTTCTGCCCCTGCTCTGCGTCAGCCCTCACGTCACTTCGCCAGCAGTAGCAGAGGCGGCGGCGGCCGCCGGTTAGAGCCCAGTCGCTGCTTCAGCTGCTGTTGCTGCTTCTGCTGCGCTCTGCTCCCTGCGCTTGCTACGGGAGGCCGGGGAAGCCGTGCGGACAGTCCTCGGTGGCCTGGGCCGGCACTGTCCTGCTACCGCAGTTGCTCCCCAGGTGGGATGTGCCGCGCCACCTGCCCACCTCCCCTCTACCCCCGCGCCCAGCGGCCAGGGAGGATTCTGCAGCATCATTGGGGCCCCATCGTCGCCGCAGCCTCTTTGGAGGGTCCTTGGCTTGGCCCGTGCCATGGAATCTGCTCTCAAAGACCCGTTCCCGACTTCTCATGCCTCGGCCTCAGGCTTGAAGGGAGGGCGGGCACACTGGGGGGCCACTGAGGGGCAAGTTGATTGCGAGGCGGGAGCTGGGCACTCCGACATTCATTCTCCAGGCTGGGGTTCAGGGTGAGGAGAGCGCGGAGGGACTGTGTCCCAGTTGGTGGTGTATAGGGTCTACCCTCAGTCTCATCCATGTCTGTTTGTCCTCAGCCCTAAGGTGCGCACCGATATCGATATCCGTGCCGATTTAGCGGTTCTGCGACCCAAAGAGTCAAGGGAGATCCACCGAGTGGTGCCTGGCGTATAGGACCATGCAGCCTCCTTGTGGCTCGGAGCAGCTGCCCGCGATGTTCCAGCCACTGTGAATCATTTGGTCAGCGCCAACCTGCTCAGCTCCAGCACCGACAGGCTCAGCCTCTGGTACGCTCCACTCCGCGGGAGGCCACCAGCACCAAGCAGCAAGAGGGCGCAGGGAAGGCCTCCCCCCTCCGGCGGGGGACGCCTGGCTCAGCGTAGGGACACGCACTCCGTCTGACTGGCACTGGCAACTCGGGATGTCGCCCTGGCCGAGGTGGCATGGACCCGCCATGGCGCGGCTCTGGGGCTTATGTTTGCTAGTCTTGGGCTTCTGGAGGGCCTCTCTCGCCTGCCCCATGTCCTGCAAATGCAGTGCCACTAGGATTTGGTGTACTGAGTCTTCTCCTGGCATCGTGGCATTTCCGAGGTTGGAACCTAACAGCGTTGACCCAGAGAACATCACCGAAATGTGAGTTCCTTGTACTTTCTCTTCTGTCCCCACCTTAGGGCTCAGACAGGTAAATGTTTGGGATAGATGCTCTCCCAAGAAGTCAGAGACCAGAGAGATGGAGTATCTGACACTTCTCTGTCTGTTTCACTGGCTTACGGAAGCCAGTTGGGGAAGAGTGGGACTCTAAAAATTCCACATAGAGAGAAATAAAATCATAAATGCATATACATTATGTTCCTGGGAAGGAATTCTGCGTGCATTTTCATTTCGAAGTTCTGATGGGTGTGTTTTAGGCTTTCCATATGATAATTACATTGGAACCTTTTTGTTGGGTAAAATACTGTGTGTGTTGTTGTGAGAGAAGCTCCGGTAGCATTAACCAGAAAGGAGGTTAAAATTGTTCATTTTCAAGAATTGGTTAGAGTGAGGGTCTCTCCCTTAGCATCCTTTCCTGAGGTTTGGAGTTGGCTGGTCCTGTCTCCCTCTTTTCTTCTCATCTATTGGATTTTGCTTCAGAGATTGCAGCCAGAGATGCTTTGAGGATGCCCTGTAAGAGGAGAAGTTCTGAGTGTCGAAAAGCACTCGCTCAAGAGAGAAAATGTGATCACGGGAAGGGCTAAAAGCCTGGGCTGATTTAATTTGGACCTGATTTTTCAGAGATACAATTTTGAGACCATTTGGATTATAAATCTTAATTGCCCATTGAAAAATTCCCCAGGACTAGGCTAGATGGCAAGCCGCGTGCACATTGAAGGATGGTAGCTTCAGCCTTGGACCTTCGTGTCCCTAGAAAGGTTACAGCTTGTCCCAGCTTGCTGGAGAAACAGAAATGTGTTTCTTTTCTCCCTGTTGGATGTCTTGTGACGAACACCCTGCCAAGCAGGAACTCAGCCGTCCTTTCTCTAGGTCACCTGTGCTGGACGTACTGCTATTGTCCCTTCCCAGCAATCTTGCCATTTTATGTCTCACAAACAGAAGGTTTTATTCATCTGTGTAGAGGATTATAAAGCGAAGTTTCCTGGGTGATTGAGACTGAGAAAGGCAGCCTGGAAAGTAGGGCTTGGGCTGTGGCCTTCCGGTTGGCGAGTGCGCATGCACCCCCTCCCCCAGCGTACAACGGTGTTTTCTGCCAATGCAGCTGCCAATGCCAAAGGCATCAAGATAACCTGTTTTGGTTTTTAAATGTAAGTAGGAGTCCCTTCTAATCTTGCTGTTCTGCTACTGATGGTTATGCTATAGGCCCCGGGTGGAAGGAAACAACGGCAGAGCAAGGTGGAGCGTGCAGGCCTGGCATAGCTGAGCCAATCCAGCTGTGAATAGCCAGGGTGCCAGGTTCCCAGTCTTTGACAAGTAGCACAGCAGCCCAGTGGGAGGGTAGGGTGCGTTTGTGCCTTTCCGGGGCTAGGCTTGTCCAAAGAGTCTGTGGCCTTTCTCAAAACCAAGTCTGTCCGAAGGTGATGTCAGTCAGATGGAGGGGCCTTGGGAAGGAACTCAGAGCCTTTTGGTGGCAGGAGACCTGGAAGGTGCATTTACACAGCTAGATACCGCAGCTTTTTTTTTTTTTTAAATTCAATGATAGACACCAAATGAAGAGAGAAACGAGACACACTTGGTTCTCATTTTGGTTGCTTTACTTTAACGTTTTAAGATCAGCTGAAAAGAAGACAGCATCACTAAATCCAAAAGCAGTACTGATGAGGTTCCAGAGCTTTCTGCCAGATGCATGCCATAAACCGAGAGTTTGGGCAGAGCATTCTGTAGTTTTCTTGCAGATGTTGTTACTTCTTTTCTATGTGACGGCAGCTTACACACACACACATACACACACACACATATGGAGTAGGAATATATATGTGTGTGTCTGTATGTTTATGTGTGTGTGTGTGTGTGTGTGTGTGTGTGTATCCATCCACAGTCTATTGTGATACTCCAGTTCCTACTCTGGTTTTATTTGGAAATCCACTGGTATTGAGGGAACTGAGAACTCAGCATGTGGCTGGGTGTCCAGGATGCAGGAGTAGGTTGGTAATACCCATCTGGCTAGGGAGAAGCAAGGTCAGGAAGAAGGTATTTCTGTCTACTTAGCCTCTCAGTGGCACTTGAGCCTATCTGAGTAGTATCTGTAAATTGTATTGCAAAGCTTCTTTGGAAAGCACCAATTATTTCTAAACTGCAAATAATATCAATAGTTGAGTTAGTTTTGCCTTCAGCCATATAGGATGCCATCTGTGCCTCTTTTCCTATGTGGTAATATTTGTTTCAACAACTTGGCCAGTGGCTACAAGCTACAGTTGAAGCCAAATGACACATTTTTACATACTCTGTTATTTGGTCCAGTGCTATTCTCAATGTATTCCAGGGTAGCAACTTAGTTTATTTATGTATCCCTGAAGTTATATGTCTCTGGCCTTTTGCACAGGAGAGCGATACCTGTATCCACACTCAGTACTTGCTAAAGCAACAGCTGACTATTCACACTGAAAGACAATGTATCTTTTAGTACCTGTATTTTCAACCCTGGTGTGTCCCTTAGGGTTCACGGAGACAAATGTTAGAATATTTTGAGACTATATGCCTAGATTAGCTAACAGGTAGGATGCTGTGTTTATACGAAGTTGAAATCAACTTGACGTGTCAGAGTCATTGTTTGAGTTTGTTTTATTAATTAGAAGCGTGTGTCACACACACTGTTGCACATTATTTATCGCCTAAGCTAATCTGGATTTCTCTGCGCTATGGTCAGAAATGCGTGCTTCAGCATTGAGTTGCAGAGAGGCACCTACTGATGCTTGTGAACAATTAAGACCACAGTAGTGCAAATTAATCTTTAAAACAGTACCAATGTCACATGCAAGTCAATACTATTGGGATTATGGCCATTTAAACCCCCCATTGTGTCAAATGCCAAGGTGTATAATCTCACCCAAGTAGTAGGTAAGAGGCATAGTTAAGATGAGTTTACTACCTTAACCTATGGGTAAAACAAGTTTCCCATGGTAAGCTTTTCCAATGTTTGCGTCTGTAGCATTCAGTAATCCACGCTGCGGAACCCGTGCACTCTACTATTGCCTGTGTTTGTGAAGGCAGGTAGGGATCTCTTTCTGAACATCTTGGGTGGTATTCTCTGAATTGGGGGCAATGTTTGGAACCGAGTCTAATATTTATTTCTCTTAGCACAACACAAATAGAACCCACAGCTTCTGCTGCCAGAGCGTCTATGTGCACTTTATTATTGGCTGGTTAAGTGCAGTAGTGCTTTGCCATTAATACATTGATTTTGGCCCCAGCACCTTCGTAAGCTTTGCTGGTGCAATTAATTGTGTTTAAAACATCCCGGCATTCACAAAGCCTCAGCCAAGGGCGTCAGTGTGATCGCTTTGAGGCCACTCCACTGCTGTGGTTCTAGAACTTTGGGTTGCAGTTTTCTTTTTTTCTGCACTGAAGAACTATGCGTTTTATCTTGAGCACGATTGCACCAGTCACAACGGGTTTATTAATAAATGCAGTGTTATTCATTATCTAATAGGATTTGCAAACTGCAGGTGAAACCTCACTGTCCACGCAGTGGAGATGTGACTAGACCCGGAGGCTCAGCATCACCATTTGGAGTCTTTTTTTTTTTTTTAAATTCATACCTTCAATCTAGTTTTGTTTGCACTGAGTAAGACAATGAAAAAGCCCAGCGACCCTTCTGACCCCACTCTCTCCCACCACCCATCATTGAATGTACAGGAAAATGTGTTTGATTTTCTTCTTCTCTGAAAAGTGATACTTCCTTATGGGAATTCAGAGTGCTTAGAGTTAAGAGAAGAGCCGGGTTTTGCGTCCTTACAAGCAAGCACTGGGAGGTTGAAGCCCTGTGGGCATAGCTCCCCTCCTGCTGAGTGTGGGTCTGGTTAAGGTCATTTGCTGTTTCTCTCCCATAAACCTTTTGCTGTATCTCTTTCAATATTCCCTGGTTAAGATATTTGCTAAGCTGAAGAGTTGACTGAGCAGCTGAAGGTCGAGGACTCTTTCCCCTTAGGGACTGTCCATATGATCTCTGACTGTATCTAGGCCACTGAAGTATAAAACCTTGAGGTTTTGTTTAGCTGGGGAAGGGAAAATAAATTTCTTCTTTTTGTGCTAATTTTTTTTATTAGGGGGAGAAGCATTATTAAGCCATTATTGGATACCATACACTGGCATCCTCTTCAGAAGTTGGCTTTTCTGTGTCTCTAGAGTGCTTCTTGAGGCAGAATATGACATTGTATCTGACATCCTGTTGAACATTAGTGTGTAGTGCCTCTTGCTAGATTCCTACAAATCAGTAAGGGGATTCAGGAGACAGATTATTTATAGATGGCTGATTATTATTATTTTTTGTTTGTTTTGGTGTGTTTGTGTGTATATGGGGAAGAGAGAGTGAGAGAGAGAAAGAAATAATAGAGAGGGGGAGGGAGGGAGAGAGGAAGGAAGGGAGGGAGGGAGGGAGGGAGGGAGGGAGGGAGAGAGAGAGAGAGAGAGAGCACCAACGAATCTAGATTCATAGATTACTACTAGCTGTCTGGTCATTATTCATGATCTACTTTGCCAAGCTATTTTAGAATACAGATCTCACCCTGCCATCCCAACTGGCAGAGATCTGAACTCTGAAGTGGCCTGATAATTTTAGCCTGCATTTGATTACTGGTCGATCTCCATTAAAAAGGCAGAGAAACACGCCCCCCCCCCAATCAGGACTCCCTCACCACTCACTTCCCTCTCTGGAATGTCCAGGAGGTTGGGAAAGCATAAGTATTGATCTCGAGTCGAGTACATGAATATTCCTGAAGTTATCTCAGCTCTCCAAAGAGAAGCAGCGCAAGACACCAAGTTCTTTCTTCAAGTGTTTCAAAACCACTCCATAGTGGAACAGGGAGATGATGGTGACTTTTGGGAGCCCGACTAAGACATTACTACCTGGTTACGTGGTCCTGGGGACTCCGGTCTCCATGTAGGCGAAGAGCTTTGCTTCTGGTGCTTACACAAGTTTCTTC